TTTTTTATATTCACGAGCTGTTTGTGTCAAAACCCGAACGAGCAAGATACGAGCTAGGGAGGGCTTTTGACACAAACAAGTCGTGAATATGACCCCGTACAAAGGACTTTCTATAACGTGAACTGTTTATTACACATATCACGAGAATTTTCACTGAAATAGTTTTCTAATGTAACACATAAGCTTATTACTACGAGCAAATCACAAATACTGAGATGCAAATGCAAATTTAATAGCAATAGCAAATCTCGCAGCACATCCTTAGTCCTCATCGTGCAGAACAGAAAATGCACTTACAAAAATTTAATCTAGTATGACGTTACAAAAGACAGACCTCAGCGATGTGGGCTCGTATAGAGGAGCTCACGCTCAATAGTTGCATCATAGGTAATCAGGGCAAGATGGAGGGAAATTCAAAGATTTGTATTGGAATTCAAAGCCCACTAATTCTTCCTGAATTCATGCATTTGATGCTTGATTTTCCCATACATTTTCTGTAATTCCACAGTATCAAAATTACAGAAAATTTATATGGAAAAATTCAGGTTTTCTGAAAACTCATCACGGATGTCTTTGCACTCCAGATTTAGTGTATTGTTTTTTTTGAACTCTTAGTAAGTTACTCTTTTTAAAAGAAACAAAAGCTGAAGTATTTTGGCCAATGTAAAGAAATTATATTAGGGCTTGGGAAAGATCATCTTGGAGGGAAAGAAAGATGGGAAAAGGAGAAAGGAAGACCGATAAAGCAGACGGGAGGGGACATGTCACTAACAGAAGTAGGAAGATTGGCAATTGATAAAAACTGTTTCCCCTGTGCGGTAAAAGATGCAACGTCTTATGGGATAAGCAGTTAGAGTAACAAATGCGAGCGTGATTTCAATTTCGGACTGGATCGTGTCGAAACGTTTTGATATCAAATCGACTGATTTAAGGTTCATCTGAACGAAAAAAAATGAGAGCTCGTTCAAAGAAGGGGCTATTCTTGGACATACTCTTCAATATTTTGTTTGAGTTTACAAGCAAGCCATAATTATGTAGTGAAAATCGGAGGGAAACGAAATTCTGATTTTCATCTTCTTCATCAGTATCTCTTACGCGTATGTGTCGCTCAGTTTCAAGAGAGGAACGCAGTACATTTAAAATTTTCTTTGAAGTCAAAATTTTGAATTTTTCTTTTTTAGGTGACACTTAATCGGGTTGCCCATGTTACTTGGGTGATTTTCATGATTGCCTTGTTTTGTTTTTGATCATGAATTATCTTTTCAGAAAAAAAACAAAATCTACGCAAAGAAAATTCGCCAAGGCGAACCTCGGAAATAGAAAGTCAGTGGAGGGATTTTCAGCGACGTGAGGAAAACTTCCAGAGACAGATACGGGAGATGCAGCAACGCGAGCAGGATTTACAAAGGAAACTCAGAGTGGTTAAAGAACGGTATCAGGACTCTCAAAGCCAGCTAACGGATATTGAGCAACATGAACAAAATATGCAGCGGCTGTTGAGAGAGCTTCAGGAACGAGAAAAAAATTATCAAAGGCAACTGATGGAGTTTCAACAGCGTGAACAAAATATGCAGCGGTTGTTGAGAGAGCTTCAGGAAAGAGAAAAAAATTCTCAAAGGCAGCTGAGGGAGTTTCAACAACGTGAAGAAAATTCTCAGAGGCAGCTGAGGGGGTTTCAACAACGTGAAGAAAATTCCCAGAGGCAGCTGACGGAGTTTCAACAACGTGAAGAAAATTCCCAGAGGCAGCTGGTGCAGTTGCAGCGGCAACTGAGGGAGATAGGACAGCAGTTGACCAATTGCCGAGGACAAGTTTCTGAACTACAGTTAAGTCTTTCAACAGCACAGGAAACAATAAATCAATTGTGGAACCAGGAAACACGTGACTGGGTTATTCCCCGGGACGAAATTCAAATCAAAGAGAAATACCTTGGGAGGGGAGGATGGGGAATTGTCAATGAGGGAACGTATTGTGGCTTTACTGTAGCAGTGAAACAGATCCATGAGTTGATTCTTTCTCCTCATAACATAAACCTGTTTGAAAGAGAAATGAATATCGCTTCTAAATGCCGCCATCCTCACTTACTACAGTTCATCGGCGCCACGAAAGATGAGGGAACTCCTCTGTTTGTGACTGAGCTGATGGAGAAAAGTCTTCGCACTTTGTTGGAGCAGCGGCAACTCTCCGAGACAGAAATAGCCGTCATTTCTCTGGATGTAGCACGTGCCCTGAACTACCTTCATCGAAAGAAACCAGAGCCTATCATTCACCGTGACGTCAGCAGTGCGAATGTGTTGCTATGGCGACAGGGTGACCAATGGAGAGGCAAAGTGTCAGATTATGGCACTGCTAATTTCATGCAGCAGACCATGACAGTGGCTCCTGGAGCTATGATTTACAGCGCACCTGAAGCACTTACATCAAACCAAACAGTCAAGGTAAGTTTAGTCACTGTTCAAGGCTGTTCACGGCTGTTAACATTAACATAAGAATTAAGTGACCCTTACCCATGCATCGTATCATGCATCGTGGCCTTTTAATGGTACAGTGTTATGTTTTGTTATTGTTTTTATACTTTCAAGCGGAGTAGAAAAACTGTGCCTGTTTAGCCTCTTGAGTTATGCAACGGACTATTTTATTGCAAAGTGTCTTGTTGAATTTCTCGTTTTATAAGATACATGTATATTTGTTCAAAATTAGTCAAATATCTGCCATTTTTGGCGGTGATTTTGCGACAACGCGCATATTTAGCTCATTGTTTAAAATTAACCAAATCCATCGGTGTGCACCGAAATCTGGTCTTAATTGTGCTCTTTAACGGGGAAATTTCAATCATCCCTTCTATGAGCTCCCTCGGGCTCTGACCGCATTTTCGCGCGCTCGAATTCTCCCCCCTCCCTACCCTTGTATGTTATCAGTCAACCTCGTTTAGACCATCTCATTAGTGAATTGGTTCTGGTGCAGCTTTAAGACGTTTAGTCAATACAACATGTAGATTTATATAAATAACGAGACGGCTAAAAGTTGTCCCCGTAAGAATGCATTGAGGTATACAGGCAGAAAACACCTTTTGATAAAGGTTGGAAAAATGTTATTTTAAAAGGGTTTTTTCTCTCTGCCTACGGTCCTCGTATAATCGCTATTTTTGCTCTAAATTCTGCTTATAGATTCTCATATTAAAGAGCTTTTGTACCTCTAAATGGAACTCAGTGTTTATTGGCAACTGTAATTTTCCGGTTTGGGTCTCAGCGGACTCAGTTCAGCTGGGGTGAACAAGTGCCCCGAATAATGTCCCTGCAATCAAAATCTAGCCTGGTTCGCAGACGTAATGTAACCAAACCCCGGTAAGTAACGTCTGCGAAACAGCGCCCAAATTCTCATTTGTTCTAGGCCTCCACCTATACATGTACCAGGATTTTAGTACGCGCCATTGCCATATTTACCAATCATTTTGTAAGGAAATTCGAAACACCTGGAATATCTGACCTGGAATATCCAAATTAATGAAATTCTTTAGAAGGCCTCTAAGAGATTATATTTTTTGGTACAACTTAAGAGAGCTAAGGATACTCGCACTGATTTAGGGCTCTTCTACTCTAGTTGTATTAGATCAGTTATGGACTATGCAATACTGGCCTTTCACTTCAGTTTGCCTAAATATTTAATTCAAAAATTGGAACGTGATATACAGAAGAGAGCAATGTCCATCATCTGCCTCGGTGTTATTTATCATGAGGCTCTTGTTATTATGAACTTTAAGGATTGAATTAGGAACCCACCATGACGAAATATGTGAGTCACTTTTTCACACAATTGTAAATGACAACAATCACCGCCTTTATAAGTTATTACCTGCACTGCACGAATCTACTAATTCAATAGGCTGATTTAACAACAGAACGAGAACTTCATTTGACGACGGGTAAGCGCGCAGAAAGGTGTAAACTCGACTACCGGTACCCAATTTGCCGCTCTGCCATTGGTCAATCCAGTTGTTTGATTTGCGCGCGCAGTAGTCAACAGACGTTCCCGTTCTGATGCTAAATCAGCCTATTAAGGCGCGCGCGACGTTTTAACATGCCACGTTTTAAAACCGACCGTTTTAAGAATAGCTTTATTATCTTTTCATGTCTTAAAGCAACTAACTTGTAGGTTAGAGTTTTCGAATTTCTCAGCTTGTATTTCGATAACTTTTTTTAGCATCTCATCTCTTGTTAGCATTTTTATTCCTTTCAACTAAGATAGATTAGTTAATGTTTAGATCTATAATGTAACTTTTGTAACGTAAATAAGTAATTCAGCTTTCGAACTGCTATGTACATTTATGAATTAATAAACTTCAAACTTCAAACTTCAAACTTCAAACTTCAAACTTCACACTTCCAGTAATTCGTTGAGTCCAGAGGGGTCCAGAACAAAACTGAATAAGGCCTATCGGTGCTGCTTCGCAGACATTAATAACCGGGGTTAGATTACGTCTGGGACGCATGCAATAAAAACCAAACCTCGTAGGATGTTTACCAACCGCGGAAGGATTAGTTCAGTCGGTAGAGCGCTTGACTGCAGAGCGTAAGGTCGCGAGTTCGATTCCCGGGGTCGGACTAATACTCAGGGTCTTAAAATAACTGAGAATAGGGTCCCGAATAAGTGCTTTCGTGCTAAATACCTTGACACTCAAATGAATTGCACTTTTTTAAACAATATTGACTTCCTCAAATTATGTTTTATCGTTGTTAGGTTGATGTCTACAGCTTTGGTGCTCTTCTTTACGAAATGTGCATCCGACAACTTCCAGATCCTCAGAGGCGTAACGAACAAGTGGTGCTTGTAACGAACAGTGTGTTTCGTGGTCTGGTGCGGCAATGCATGCAAAGAGAGCCTGGGGCGAGACCAGCCATGCAGGAGATAATCGATGAATTGAAGGAATTCGATCCAATTTCTTAATTGTAAAATGAACGGTATGCAATATGATTGAAAATTCGCAGTTTGTAGGAACTTCCTGCTGTTATTCGGGCTCGTACTTTTAAATTACTCGCCTGATTACTCCTTGAGTAGTACTCAACTCAGTCCTATTACCTAAACTAATTTGTAATATTTTTTAGTCTGGTATTCGTAGTAAAGAATACATAGTAAAGAATACGTAATTACATAATAGTGAGGTATGAATAGTGGAGAATACAATTTACATCCAGACAAAAAGGTTATTGCAGTTAAAAACGTGCAATACTGAAACAAAGTACTAACTAGGTAGTTGTAAGAAGAATAGAAATTAATAACTTAGTTAGGTATCAATATTTGTAGTTAATATCTTAGCCTAAGATTGTTGGCTATTTGTCCCTTTTGCGAAAGACTTGCTTTACATTTTAGGTCGCTGAATAATTGTCTTTTGAAGATTTAAGATTTTTTCGGAATCGTGCGATTTTCGAGTGGCAGAGCCGTGACCAGGTAATGCAACTGGTAATTGTTTTCTGTAACTCATACATGCATGATGATTATATCACCGTAATGCGCATGTCATCGGCTTCCCCCTGGGGGCGTGGAGTAGGACTCCAGGCCAACTAGCGGGATTCAAAAATGGGCGGTGCAAAGTTAACAATTTCCCCCAGGGGTGGGGGAATTTGGCAAGTGCTTCTCAATGAAAAATCCCCCTGATATCACCAGAAAAAAGTGGGCTTCACTTGATTGATTCACTTTGATTTTAATTATACTAGTAGTCTTCTTAGCTGACGAAGTTTGTTGCGCACGACTGCTAACAAGGACCACAAAAGCACCCGTGAAATGAATTTGGCTATAAAGCGACAAGAAGAATGGGGGAATTCCTTACTCGCGAACTCACGATCGGGCAATGTGATCCCGCCCACGACGCTTTCTTCAGTAGGAACAAGGACAGTAGTGTTTACATTAACAAGTGATATTCGGACAAAAGATCAAGGCAATGCGCGTTCCCGCAAAATTTACTCTCTGTCAGGTAACTTTTCTTGCTTGTTTTTCTGTAATTTGTTATGAGAAATGACCAGTTCTAACGAAGAATAAGAAGGATGGCCTACAAGGAGAAGGAGAAAGTAGCGATAGAAATTTCAATTATCTATCGTTGATCAATTGGAGCATTTTTTAATGGTAACTTTATGGTAACTGTCCTTTCGTCAGTAGAACATGGATGCAGTGACTGAAGCATGTGATTGGAAAAAAAACTCTTGCCTCCAGTACGACCCATCTCCGCATAAAACAATTGACCGGGGAGCTTAAAGTTCAGGCTTATACAGCTATTTCTAGAAAGGTTGTCGGAAAAGCAATGTTCCTGATGCTGTAGCTGTTGAACCTACTTTTGTTGCCTTCCTCTTCAGCACTCGCAAACATATGTCCATGGCCTCTCGTGCCATTCTTTCAAATTTCTTTGAAGAACAGCGAACTCAAAACCGCCCATAATACCTTTCGGGATTGTCGAGTGCATTTTTTCCGACAACCTTTTTCGAATTAGCTGTATACTTATGGCATTCTGTTGTCAACAAAGTTTTCTGCTGACCTGTTTATAGTCTGGCGGCTTAGCTAGAAATTTTAACTGAATTGTGCACTTTTAGATACAAGCATGAAATTTGGCACACTGATAGTAGTCACCAATACAAGCAATTTCAGATATAGTGCCAAGCCGGAATTACGTCGGTTTCCATAGAAACCGCAATTTATTAAAATTCTTAAAAAGTTAATAAATTCAATTCATTTAAATTATTTGTCCTAGTTTATCAAGACATAGTATCATCAGTCAACCAACCTGTTTACCACGTACATCTTCTTTATAACACGCTATTGCACCTCAACTATGCGATGCCATGGCAACGGTAAACAAAGGAAAACTAAAAATACAACGACTGAATAAAATTAGTGTGCCTTAAGTTGGTTTGATCGTTATATTTATTACAACTTGCATCTTTGCACATAGCTTCATTACCTAATTGATTTCACATTTTCGTTACGGAATAAACTTGAGGTGATTCTCTAGTTTTGCCGCTGTACATCCCTCATTGCGTATAACAAGATGACCGCCCCATGAAAAAGAGCTTCGGCAGAAACATGATTAAATTGACGTCGATCGAAGAGAAAAGTCATTGGAATTTTCCTTAGCAGTTTTTTTCTGGCTGAGATGAGTCTCAAAGTGTTGGAAATGTGCCTTATGTAAGCGGTAAGTGTGTTGCTGAGTTAAACCTGAGCTACTTCCTCACCGAGGCCTTCGATAGAGGATGTTGTGCTGAACCACTTTCATGAAATTATGTCCTAATTACCTTATCTCGATGTAAATTCCATTTTGAAAATCGAATTTTTCGATTTTTCGATGCTTTCTTCCACCTTCCACGTCCATGCCGCTTTGAAACTCGTCCCAATGTTTTCTTTTCTTTTTTTTAATGTAATTTAATAACGTCTTTATTTAAAGTCTTAATTGCCCTGCCTAGATTAGCATTATCGCTATTTGCAGACATAAAGTATTGAAACGTTATATTTCTTTAAATACTGAATTACATTATTGTTGTTGTTGTTGTTGACCAGTATAAACTGTGTGAAAGCTGAAGTGTGTGCTAATACACTGTACTTAAATTGAGCCTTAAAATCCCACGGCTACTACTAGATTACAACAAAGCTATTAAAAAAGCTTCGAAAAATGTTTTTAAACTTTGTGGAAACAAATAACGGAACTTGACGTTGTAAGTAACTTCGATTGCGCGCCAGAATCGCTTTCGATCCTTAGAAACAAGTAACCAAGGAAACAAAATCGTGCAAACAAATAACAGTTTTTTCAACTGGTTGAGTCTAGGAAGAGAAAATTTCACGACAACCAGATAAATTCAATCCGAAACAAATTAAAGAAGCTCTAACACTTTTGAATGAACAGTTGACGCAGTAGTTTGATGTATTAAAGGCAAAAGCAAAGTTAGTCTGGGAGTTTTCGTGCGTGCCCTGTATTTTTGCTACAAAGCTTACGCCACCAAGGAAAACAACGCGAAGAGGGCAGATGTGAAAATAACACAACTTTTACCTTCCTCGCTGACATTTCCTGAAGCAGTCGAAGTTCCTAACATTGTTTGGAGGAAAACTATGTAGATTAAAAATTTTTTCATTTTGTCAAGAATAACTTTTCTCTTTTCAAAGCGCAACACGAATAAACGTGTTTAGCGACGTGGAACGATAAAAAACCCGACGTCATAAAGACAAAATAGAACGTTCTCCTGCGCGCGTAAAGTTTATGGAACACTTCTTTATCCTCCCATATTTTGAATTACGTTGACATCAATTGAAACTGTTCATTTCGGTTAATAACAATGACGCGTGAAACGTTACTTCAAAGGCTACATAGACGATTTTTCTGGATTCGTCAAGAATATGGAAACTTCAGATTACCGGATTTGTTGTATCGTTGACATGCAGATCCCCGACGTGGGGCACTGCCTGACCTTATTTGGCCCTATAAGTGGGTTCGTACAGGGTTGCAAAATGAACGATTTTTGTCTTCAACCGGGGTCAAGGTTTGAAGGCGCGTCTCGGCGGCACACCTCTACCAAAACGTCCCTTGAGTACCTCACAGAACAGTGTCTCAATGGGGTGCTAGCTTTGATGATTGTCGGGTAATTTGTACCAATTTTGATGGGTGACGGTCAAATTTTGAAATAATAAATAAATAGATAAATAAACTAGGGTATCTAAAAGATAGTAATGCTGCGGCACATTCTGTTGATACTGGCATTAGTTAGGCAGTGAGACTTAAAAGAATCAAAAATGACATTGAATGTCCTATTTACATGTTGGAAAGTACTAGAATAATTACTATCAGTCTATAGAAAGAACTCGTGGAAACGTTGTTTAGAAAATGATCAAGTGGTTATCAACTCTGGTTTTCCCACAGTAAATTGGAGGAAATAATAGAAATTGAGATTGATTATCCAAATATTTAATATACAGTGCACGATATTTTCTCTGGAAACACAATACTTTTCTTGCTGTTTGTTGCACTTTATTAAGTAACAGTTATTTAGCTATATATTTATAGAAAACAACAACACAAAAAAAGGAAAAAAAAAGAAAGTAGGAATAAATAACACGGTAGGACTCGAACCCGGCACCTTCGACTAGACGCGACTATACCTAACCACTACACCACAGAGGCTGATTACGTAATTTCTGGGAAAAGTGTTTCGTTTTAATCCTTTTCTATGAAACTTCCGCCGGCAAGATGATCGCCAGCCGCATTAACCGAGCTATTAACAGTGAAAAAACAATGTAAACGCATATTCCATGGCAATGAATGAATGAAAGAACATAATTATGCTTTTCAAAACGCCGATACACGTCCTGGTCTGCAAAGTAGGACACAAAACATATGTTTTGTTATCTCGATTTCCGCTGTTATTTTGAAGCGAATGGTCAAAATCACATCCATTTTCGGCTCATACAGTTTCTTAAGAATAGCACTGCATGACATTTTCTCACTTTCACATTACCTTCTAGCAAGCTGGAATTTGTATATCCCCCGTGTTCCGCAGTCGAAGAGCAAATGCTCATCTTCTAGTCAGGTTTAACACCTGGAAGAGTCAAAGGCTCTTGAATTGAAATCCACTCCCCAAGTTAACCATCGTACTCATCTGAAAGACTCCTGCGTGTCTTAAAATTTGGTAAGACCTCTAACCGTGCTGTAGAACTGAGCAGCGAACGATGCACTACTTCCCCGTGTTTTTATTTGAGTTGTTCGTGGCGCAATGCACTCTGGTTAAATGCAATGCATTGTGGTAAAAAGTGTGGTTAAATGCAATGCATTGTGGTAAAAAGTGATGAATTCGAGAATTCGTCGCCCCTTTATATATTTCCTTTAAATCCTGATTATGTTGCTGCTCGCTCCCTTCGGTCGCTCCGCAGCAATAATGATTTGGAGGTAGCACATCCACAAAGTGTTTCTTCGTCTG